GATAGATGGATGGAAGGTAGGTAGGTAGATAGATTAGATACATACATACATACATACATAGATGGATAGTTGGGTAGATAGATGGATAGATAGATAGATAGATAGATAGATAGATAGATAGATAGATAGATAGATAGATGGATGGAAGGTAGGTAGGTAGTAGGTATGTAAATAGCTTAGATAGATAAATAGATACATACATACATATATACATACATACATACATACACGGATGGATAGTTGGATAGATAGATGGAAGGATTGATGGATGGATAGATAGAAAGATAGATAGATAGTTGGATAGATGGATGGATAGATAGATGCAGAGAGGGATAGTTGGATAGATAGATGCAGAGAGGGATAGTTGGATAGATAGATGGAAGGATGGATAGATAGATGGATGGACAGACAGACAGACAGACAGACAGACAGACAGACAGACAGATGAAATTTGATGGAATGTGGCCATCTTATACGTGGAATGACATATATTCCTATTGGCTTAAAAACCACATTAGCTAAAATGGAGTAAATAATAAGGAAATACAGACTTTCTTTTTTTTTCAAGCTTCGGATTTGAAGTAATGGAAAACAAGCTGCAATCCTGAATCATGGATGTTTGTCAACATTAGTTGACAACTTTAAACATCTTTAAATATTTAAAACACACACATAGACATATGCATGCACACAGAAAATAGTCCATTTCCCTGATAACTCTCAGAGATTAAATGAAGTTGTTTAAATGAAACATTTGGCCTAGTTACAGGTTGACTCTTAGGGGTGCTCCAATTGTTTCTAGTTAAGTTCTTGAAAAGATGCTGAATGACAAATAAAAGATAGAGTTGGGCACCAGTGGCTCACACCTGTCATCCCAGCTACTCAGGAGGCTGAGATCTGAGGATGATGGTTCAAAGCCAGCCCGGGTGAGAAAGTCCATGAGACTCTGATCTCCCATGAACCACCAGAAAACGGGAAGTGGAGCTGTGGCTCAAGTTGTAGAGCACCAGCCTTGAGTGAAAGAGCTCAGGGACAGCGTCCAGGCCCTGAGTTCAAGACCCACAACTGACAAAAGAAAAAATAAATAACTACTTTGAATACAACTCCAGATGTAATCATTGAAAAATACTACACTTTGCTTTTCTAGTTTTCTACAGGTTGATGACTGTAAACGCTCTAGAAATTAGCTGAGACACATTTTAAATTGCATTACAAATGTCCAAGTAGGTCTCTGTGTTTCCAAATACTTTCAATGTTCTGCATGATATATATTTTTTCCTCTGCCTAGATTTTTTCCTTCTAGATTTGAAGAAATAGAAAATATGTATTCTTTCTATGCTATATACTTTTTTCTATGAATATACATGTGCATATAGCAAATACTTATTTTTCCTATGCTGACATTTTTCTATGCCTATATATGTATATTTAGCCAATATATATTTTTCTATGCCAATGTTTTTTTCTATGCAAATATATATACACTATATACATATATATGGATATCTATGGATATATAGCAAGTAGGTATTTCTATGCAAATATATACATACATCTATATGACTACATATATATGACCATCAAAAAAGACCTAAGGGGGTTTAAAAAAATGAAAATAGAAACCCCAGATGCTTAAGCTGTTTTAGTTAGAGCCATTAATAAAGATATGGTCGGGGCTGGGCAGGTAGCTCAGTGGTAGAGGGCTTGCCTTGCATGCATGAGGCCCTGGGTTCGATTCCCCAGCACCACATAAGCAAAAAGAAAGAAAGCTGGAAGTGGCGCTGTGGCTCAAGTGGTAGAGCGCTAACCTTGAGCTGAAGAGCTGAGGGACAGCGCCCAGGCCCAGAGTTCAGACCCCACAACCGGACCCCCCCCCAAAAAAATAAATAAAAAATATAAAGACATGGTCTTCCTCCTGGGCAAAGACACACTGAGCACTTTCTGATTAGGCAGGTGGAGGAAGAGGGAGGGGAGAGGGAGGGGGTGTGGTCTTCCCCTCAGAATGCCAAATAGTTTGAATATTCAGTCTGGTTTTGGTTGTGTGTGTGTGTGTGAGAAAGAGAGAGATTGAACAACCAGGAATTGCATCTTTCAGGATACACCCACTGTACGCCCATCTGGATTTTCTTGGGGGTGGGGGTCCTTAAAACACTTTTTTGTGAGAATGAAAAGGGCAGGTAACTGGTAGACAACAGGGTGAGCCATTTTTTTGTAAGTGAAATACCCTGTTCCCCTCCCCTACCCCACAGAGACAACGTTATTGTAAAACAGCCATTCGCTCACTCCGGGCTAGGCAAGGATCTGTTTAGTATCGGCCAGGATATGAAGAGGGTAAGAAAGCTGGGATTCCTCTTGTGGAATGGGAAGGTAGCTGGTTCAGGGCGTTAAGTGGTAGTGAATGGCTAGAGTTGGGGAGAGAGGAGTGGTGTATGGTGTTACCTTTTGCCGTGGGTAGCCGTTGGCTCCCGGATCCTATACAGCAGGGTTTTTGCCAAAGCAAATGAAGATCTGTCACTAATGTCATAGACGACGACAAAACCATCTGCCCAGTGCAGCTCACTGGTGAGGGAGAATTTTGCTTTGAGAGGCTGCAAAATAAATCAGGTGAATTGAAAGGCGAGGGATGGGAGAGATCTTTCTAAGCCTGAATTGCCTGCATTTCTCCACTTCTGTCTTAGGGCCCTTCAAGGTCCAATACGTTGTTTTGCTTTCTTTTTTCCTTTTCCTTTTTTCTTTCTTTGCTGCTGTTCCTGGAGCTTGAACTCAGAGCCTGGGCGCTCAATCATCTGAGCCACAGCCAGCTTTGGAGTGCTTAATTGCAGACTAGAGTCTCACAGACTTTCCTGCCCAAGTTGGCTTCAAACCACAATCCTCACATCTCAGCCTCCCAAGCAACTAGGATGACAAGTGTGAGCCCTCAAGCCCAGCTAAATACACCGAATTCAACTATTTAATATGGAGAATGTAAAAAGATGTTTGAGCTCAAAAGCTATCTGACCTATGCTATCTTAACAACTGGCTACTTATAAATACAGCTTGATGTATAATACACTAATAATTTCTAAGAGTGTCCTGATCGAAATCTATCATGAATGCAGCCCAATATTGCTATTTTAAACTTATTTTTGAGTAGGACACCACTGGCTTACACCTTTCATCCCAGCTACTCAGGAGGCTGAGATCTGAGGATCATGGTTCAAGGCCAGCCCAGGGCAGGAAAGTCCATGAGACTCTGATCTCCAATGAACCACCAAAAAGCCAGATGTGGAGCTGTGGTTCAAGTGGTAGAGCACCAGCCTTGAGTGAAAAAGCTTAGAAACAGCACCCAGGCCCTGAGTTCAAGCCCCAGGACTGACAAAATAATAATGGTAAAATTAGATAGACAGACAGACAGAACAATTTGGATATAAACTAAAGGAGCCAAGAAGTATAATTGGAAATACTAAAACCTTCCAATATTTTCACTATTAGAAATGAGAAGATGTGAACTGTTACTTTTAACACAGACAGTGATTCACATACCATTTACGTACTCTTCTCCAAAGGATGATTAGAAAAGTATAATGAAAACGTGTTGGGTTTCACTTACTTGAGTGCAAGGGTCATATATTTCCAAACTTAATGGCTTCCCTTCCAAACACAGATGCTTTTTGTAGATAGATTCTGTGATGAAATAAAAATAAAAATAAAAACGATAGATATATAGATACATAGATACATTGTCCACATGTAAAAAAGACAAACAGAATGAGAAGTGGAATTTAAGTCTGATACACACACAGTCACAATTTCAAATAGTCCAATAGCTTATCTCTACTGGAGGTAACCGTGTGTGCATTGTATTTACTCAGAAAAGTCTCTTAGAAATTAAAAATGTCAGCTCTAACAAACAGCATCTTTACCTGTACTGGGACTTGAACTCAGGGCCTGGGCGCTGGTCCCTGAACTTTGATGTTCAAGACTGAAGCTCTACCACTTAAGCTCCACTTTGGGGCTTTGTGCTGGTTCATTGAAGAGTCTCTTAGATTTGTCTGCTCAGGGACAGAGCCCAGGGCCCTGAGTTCAAGACCCCGGACTGGCACACACCCAAAACCAAAATCCTTCCAGGTTTTGTTTAAAGACCTTCATGACCATGTCATGAACCTTAAATTATGTTTTCACAGAGGTTCTTCCAAACTGGGTGGATTTGCTGCTAACTCTGGACCAAAAATATAAATATCTATGTGTGTGTATATTATATATATAATGCATAATATATATATTATTAGTTTCCAATGCAACTTTCATTTACAAGATGGAGTGGTTGTTTCTGGTTTGTTTTCGTAGCTTTGTTGACCTGTGAAGACATTTGACCATCTCTCCTGTGCAGACCTAAGCTAGAGAGGCGTAAACATTCCATTTGTTTGCCTCTAAGAGCTACTCTACACGCTGGGGGTGAAGGTTTTCCCTGAAGCGGCTATTGTAGTCTGCATGGTGTATTATTTGTGCTTCATTTCATTTGTATTTTCTTTTTGGTTTGGAAACACTTCTTCGGGCCTCGTTCCTTACTTGTTCAGCTACTTGACCTTCATGGTGAAGGGTTTTGTTGTTGTTGTTGTTGTTGTTTGGTTGTTTTTTTCTTTCTTTCTTTCTCTCTATTTGCCCCTAGAAATGAAAACACTAGCAATGTCTGTTTTTATAGACTTCTCCGTTCTCTTTCAAGTACTCGCCCTAAAATATTCGCCATGTTATAGTCCCAAGAATGCTTTGTTTAGCTTCTGTAAAGGAAACAGGCCAAAGGAATACTTGGAAGACATTTTCGGAAACAGCATTATTCATACCACCTCAAGGTGAAGTGTTAAAGATTTATTTCTCCTTTGTTTGTTTCATTGGTGGTTTTTTTTTTTTAAGTAGAAAAACATACTCAGGAGCATGAACTCTTCTGAACTTCACATAAAGAATATAGAATGAACAACAAAAACAACATAAAAAATCACCCTTGATATTTAAAAATATATGCTATATCCCATGTTCTGATCAGATACACAATTCTGATTAATGGCTGAACAAATACGCAAATGGTAGCTGTGCATGCTAATTCTAATTTTTTTAAAGTAACAAAAATTTGATGCTACAATTATACTATGGCTATAGGCCATACTTTATATTACATATATTATACTACATATGATATACTGTTTTTAACTTTTCTCTGAAATGTATATAAATAACCTACCTAATAATAGCATCTTGAGGGATAATTTTTCCACTCTTACGCATGGATTTTCAAATAACAAGCTTTATTTTTGTAAGTATTTCTGTTTTCAACACTAGTTTGTCTTTTGTATGTTTCAACTGGCGCTGACTTAATTTCTCAAATCTATTCCATACACCAGATAAGAATTCTGACGTGAGTGGTTTAGACTTGGAAATCAATTGATCTGACATTTCACCATCAAAGGAGTAATAAACTTTTATTTTTTTTAAAAAAAAAGCACTCAATTCAAATACCTATTTGGAGAGCTCTAGCTAAGATCTAAAGAAATAAACTTTCTCCATGAAGTATGAATATAGCAGATCATACCAAAACGCTTCTCTGATCTTCATAAGAGTTTCATTTAAGTGCTGGAGTCTTAAACTTGAAAACAGCAACAATAACAACAAAAACTCTAAAGTGGTACTTACCGAAATTAGAAGCATATTCCCCGATGAATCTCTTGGTCAGGAATCTTACTGTCAGGGCTGAGAAGGAGTCAAGTTTGCTGTCTTTTAACCTTCTGATAATTTAAGGATACACCCACATCAAATGGGACTTTGCCACCAAACCCTCCCTGCACACCTTCAAACTTCTCTCCATTTCCCTCTACATTATAGCCATCAGCTCAATAATGGTCTCAAACATTAAAATAATGATAATAATAATAGTCATACATTGGGAGAATCTTGAACTACTGCTTTGTCAGCCATGGTAAAGCTGATTCCTAAGTGCCAATACACTGAGCTATCTAGCTCTTACAACACAAAGAGATCGAGCGTGATCTTCAAAATACAACCCTCTTACATCCTGGGTTTGTTTTATGTCTTTATCAAAGGAAACATGGAACTAGGTTCCACTATATATATAATATATATATATTATATATAGTGTATATATAGTGTATATATATACATATACACATATATATAACATATATATGTTTTATATATATCCATGTATCTTTTGATATATTCCTATTATATATTTTATATACTCCTATTATATAATATATTATATATCCATGTTTCTTTTGATATACTCCTATTATATATTATAAATATATATTATATATATTTGATATATTCCTATTACATTATATATATTCCTATTATATATATATTCCTGTTCCTTTTATATATATCCGTTTCCTATTTCTTTTGATATATTCCTATTATATATATTATATATATATATATTCCTATTATATATCCCAGGTTATACATATATATACTTATATACCCATACTTACATATACACCTATATTTTTCAATTGTTGAAAGACACTGGGGAAAGATCTGTAACATCTATGTTTTTCATCACTATTGAAGCTCTGCATCTGGCCAGCTGTGGCTGTATTGGGACAAATTACATTCCCAATGGTCTATGGATAAGAACCAAACCAACACAAAACCACAGCTCCCAACACTGAGGGCGTCGTGACTCAGTCTATCTGCGCCCCCCCAAAGCTTTGCCCCCCCTCCCACTAAGTCCTTCCAGCCACAGAACCTTTAAAACAACCTCACACCAAGCACCAGGAGCAGGTGTACAGGAGTGTACCACACCCAGGACAGCCACGGGCAGATGGTTCAGATATTTCCCTAGGTGTTTTAAACACGGGCAGAAGCACCATCCAAATCCAGACTCTTCCAATACTCGCTAAGGGGCTAAGCTGCCCGTGTATTTTTATACATAGTCTCCTTGCTGATTAAGAAAACACAGGGAAAAGTCCCTCCAAACACAGAAGATACATTGCATCTCTAAGAGCCTCTGCGCTGCTTGTGGTGGATGGGGTGTGGTGGTCAGTGTGCCAATGTATGGATGGCTCATTTTGCTCTCTGCAGCCCACCCTGGGAAATGCCATCGCTCACCTGATTTGCCGGTCCCTTCTCCACCCAAGACAGCCAACTTGACTCCATTCATCCTGCTACTCTTCCAACCCTTCTCTGGCCACTTGGTGACTGGGGCCCAGCCTATTTCTTACTCATTCTTTATGACTGCTCACACTGCCCTCCACCAACTCCAGTCCCTGCTCCACCCTGAGTTCCTAGAAGCTATTAATAACTGAGGGGGGAAAAATAAGATACTTTCCCACCCGTTTATTTATTTATTTATGGCAGCGCTGTGATCACCGGTGCGGTTTTGTAACAGAGAGTTGTTTCTCCATCTTCTCTGATTTTTGAGAACCCAAAACTGCTTTTCTGCTACCTTCTCCAAAGATGCTGCCTCGATTTCTTTGGAAATTTTACAGAGGATAACTATAACATCTCTAGGCATTTATAGATTCTATAGCCTTGAAAGATCAGAGGAATAAATGAATCTAATCACTTAAAGAAGAGGAGAACACAGAACCATCATTAATTCCTTGAAAGATCAGAGGAATAAATGAATCTAGTCACTTAAAGAAGAGCAGAACACAGAACCATCATTAATTCCAGCAGGCATTTCCTCGTGGGTTAAACTATCCACTGGATTAGCACAGATGACATCCTCCAATAACGAGGTTAGGTAATAGGTAAATAATAAACAATAATTCCCAAACACTAACTCTAAGAGTAACAGTAACAACTAGCAGACATAAATGCCTCAGGTTTTTATTTTCTGGTATACCACGTTGAATGTTCTGGAAAACTTCATGAAGAAAGTACGATTATTCACTTTTAAAAGAGTAAAAACAAGATCATTTTCAAAAGTGAAAAAGAACAATAGGCAGGAAAGGAAGGAGGAAGGGAAGGAAGGAAGGAAGGAAGGAAGGAAGGAAGGAAGAAAGGAAGGAAGGAAGGAAGGAAGGAAGGAAGGAAGGAAGGAAGGGAAGGGAAGGAAGGAGGGAAGGAATGAGGGAGGGAAAGAGGGAAGAAGGGAGGGAGGGAGGGAGGCAAGGAAGGAAGGAAAGAAGGAAGGAAGGGAGAGAGGGAGGGAGGGAGGGAGGGAGGGAGCCACCTTCCCAGCCCCTAGTATTATTATAAGAAGTTTTGCAGAAGGCTCTCCATTTAATGCGTCAACTCAGGGGTACAAGGCCCCTCAACCCGCCTCACCCCTGCGTGTTAACTTTAAATTGTGTTGCTCTCCTGATAAACACAATTGACTAATTAATTAAATTGTGTTGCTCCTACTAGAATGAGCTTACAGGAACATCCAGTATATTTGGACCTCATGCACTGCAGAATAAATAAATAAACTAGAAATACTTTTTTTTAAAAAACCCTTGATGTGAAAAATCAGGCAAGGAATAAATGGACACACTTTGAAGATGAAATTTTGGGTTTTTTTCTCATTATATTCTAATGATATGTCTGATTAAAGTCGCTCCTTCAAAAAAATTTTTTTAATTAAATTAAATTTTTAAAAAAGAAAACAATCCCTGTCGTGAAAAGGAAAACCAGAAATTCTTCCTCAGCAAGAGACAAATCTAAAAACAAAACAAAAAAAAGATAAATAGGGGCTGGCAGGTGGCTCAGTGGTAGAGTGCTAGTCTTGCATACATCAGGTCCTGGGTTCGATTCCTCAGCACCACATAAGCAGAAAAAGCCGGAAGTGGTGCTGTGGCTCAAGTGGTAGAGCACCAGCCTGGAGCTGAAGAGCTGAGAGACAGTGCCCAGGCCCAGAGTTCAGGCCCCACAACCAACAACAACAACAACAAAGAAAGATAAATAGTGAGAGACAATGCCAAGGATATTTCATGATTACACTTGTGTTGCTTCTGTTAATCCTACAAGATGTGTGCAACAAAACAAAAAGAGTTGCACAGGATGGATCATTTTAAACCCAAAGTATGGATTTCATCGCTATCATCTGCTTTGCTAAGGACATAAAGGCCTCAATACACATCAGAAATAGAATTACCTCTTGATACTTACGCATGAGAATACTAAAACTTAGATGAATGAAGGGAGGAAAGGGAAGGGAGAATGGAGTCATAAAAATCCAATGCAGATCTTACCAAATTAAGAAAATTGAGGGCAGGGATGGGTAGGGAGAATGTGGAAAGAGGGGACATTAATTAAGATGGGTCATATTTGTAAACTGCTTCGTTGGATGGCAACTTCTTCATGTAGCTAGACGAAGATAATCAAATTAGATTTAAAAAAAATACTAAAACGTGTGCTTCGTGATGGCATTCTGATTTAATAAAGCAGGTTTTCAAGCAGTCAACGGATTTCACAACTTGAATATTACGTTGAAGTTTCATTTATGGATCTGGAGGAGAAATTTTAGAGGGGAATTAAATAAAAAAAATCAAAAGACCAACATTTAATTGCTTAAGCCCTCAATTGTGCCCATAAAGACACTGTAGACGCCGTATCTTGGGATTAAAAAAAAAAGCACTGAAAAATCATCTACCCCAGAGATAAGAGGCTCTATCCCCCCAAAAAACACATGTTCTCCAGAATCTCTTGCTAAGAAATTAGTTCAACCAGGCATCAAGCCAACAGTGAAGACAGTTACAATCATGGCTTTTAAACGCACAAATACTATGTTCTTCTAGCTTTGCAACTCTGTAGAAAACCTATTAACAAACCAATGCTATTCTATAGAACCATCTAGCGCATTCTACGGTGTAGGATCTCTCTATAGTGGAAGTAATCAGCAGTTGAACAAGATGGAGAAGTTTTTATCCTCTTCAAGTAATTTAAAAATCTCAGTTTCACATTGTCGACACAGGTGACCTGTAAAGGTTAGGTCTTCATAATCCTAAACACTTTCAGCCCCAGATTTGGAAAAAAAAAATCATCTTTCCTTCGGCTCTCATATTCCAAAGAAATGTTTTATTCATTATGGAATGCTAGTAATTAACTAAATTATCTGAGTTTATTTTCTCCCTTATTCTTTTTTCTTCTGGTCCCAAAAGAATGATGGAGACCTGATGGATTTTTTTTTTCTTCCAAAGGTTTTCAAAGCATGTGTGAAAGTAAATAATGGAACAGTGGCACTAATTTTTCTCAGCATGCCTTCTTTATAATTGCAATTCCCCTTCTCAAGGTAGTGATCCCCTTTGTGTTTTTATTTTTTCGAATTACTTTCGAGATGTCTGTTTGTCTTCTCCATAAGGACTCTGTCTTTCCCTAGTCTTAGAAAAGCTGAAACAAGATAGCTAATCACAGCTGGTCATGCTCAGACACGAAAATCATGATGGTCTTTTTTTGGACACTTTAGCTAATTTAGATTTCTTTTTCCTCAGAAGTAAGCTGAAATGTTAATTAGTAAATATATAGGAATATCCAAATGACATTTTTATGCATACTATATAGATATGTAATACATACACCCTATATGTATATATGTATCATGTATATATGTATATATGTATCATGTAAATTCAATGTAACTTACATATTATATGTAATATAATTATGTAATATAAATATAATGTAATATAAATATATATAAATAATATAATATAATATAAATATATATACATAATATAAATATAATGTAATATAAATATAAATATGTAATATAATATGTAAATATGTAATATAATAACCTATTTTATGTAATATTATATGTAATAACATATTATATGTAATATTATTTGCAATATAATAATATACATATTATTTGCAATATAATAATATTACATATAATATGTAAGTTACATACATAATAATATACATACAATAGGTAAATAACATACAAAATAATATACATACAATACAATATAATATTACATATAATGGGTAAATAACCCATTGTATGTAATATTATATGTAATTATGTTATGACATATTATATGTAATATTATATGTGATGTGTCATGTTCATAGTATAACATGTAAAGTTACATGTTATACATATGTATTGTATGCATTGTGTGTATGTGTAATGTATTTTACATATATGTAATAATTGTATGTGATTGTATCTATTACTTTTACTAATACATATCTATATATTAATAACAGTATATATATTTTTTTTAACTGGGAAATGCTGTTTACTAGAGAATTCAACTTTTTTTCCAGTCCTGGGGCTTGAACTCACGGCCTTGGCGCTGTCCCTGATCTACTTTTTTGTGCTCAAGGCTAGCACTCTACCACTTGAGCCACAGCGCCACTTCCGGCTTTTTCTGTTTATGTGGTGTCAAGGACTCGGACCCAGGGCCTCATGCATGCAAGGCAAGCGCTCTACCACTGAGCCACCTTCCCAGCCCTCAATTTTTTATTTATCTAAGGGGAAGAAAAAATTACCTTCCTGTTTATCATCCTAATGATTATATTTTTCCTAAGGAACTCCACCTGAGGAGCCAAATTTCCATGAGAATCTGAACACACAAATCCACATCCTGTCATGGCCGTTCCCTTGAGATTTATTTCTTGTACCTGGTTAGGGCAGGATTTAGTTACGCTCTTCCATAAAGACTTCAGATAGAATCCTGTGTTCTGTTACAGCCAGAGATGTTCAACAAACAAATACACACAAGACCGAGGGAAGGGCCTCATCTCCTAGAACAAATTTTTCCCCACCCCACCAGTGCCTTTTGGTATTCTCCCTTAAATGGAATCATTTTGTTGGTCCTCTAAACCATTTTTGCTTCTATCCGGGATCTTAAACTCTTGGGTGGCTTCCCAGCATTTGCTACACAGGAGACGAAGAAGTGGTCACCGGTAGTGATCGCGGTGAGATGAGATTTGATGCCTTGTTCCCCCCTGGACTTGATGTCTTTTACAAATAAATTGATGATGAGGATAAAAGTGACATGCAGAGAGGTGACAGTGACATCAGTCGGGTCATGAGCTCATTTCTCTGTGGACCCTGTCCCCCCTTCCCTCGCTCTCTCCCCATTTTTCCCTCCCGTCCCCACCCACGAGTGGTAGAGTTCATTCTCCACCTGGTGTCCAGTGAGGACCATGGCTACCTTGGTTTCCCCCTCTGTCCCCCCATTTCTGTGCCCCCCTCACCCTCCCAGAGACAGAGAAACCCACCCATGAGACAAAAAGAAAACAA